ACCAGCGAGTACAAACACTGCCTCCTGTTCACAAGGCTATGTTATAATCACCATACCAACTAACAAGTGTGTTAATTTAGAAACTAGGGGGGGGAATGTTTTGCTCAAACAAATCAATTTATTTTGAGGAACTGAAATGCGTCAGCGTTCCAATAAATGGGTGAGACATTTTAAAAGGGACTCAAGTTGCAAGTCTCAAGAAATAACACTTTAATTAGAGGGGGAAAACTTAAATCTGCCAAAAGAATGTCCTGCTTAGCCAAGCACCTGTTTGCATGTGAAAGATGCAAACCGTAAGCTTAATCAATCACCACAATAACACTGCACATGCATGGGGGGGGGGGGGGGGGGGGGTCACTAAAATAATCCTGCAAGGGAACCAATTCATTAACAGTAATAAGCAAATTTTACCCCCAAATCCAGCACCACAGTTATTAGATGTTAAAATGACTGTTAATCACATTCAATGTAATATTTTATTTCTTGCTTATTACACGGCTCTCTGGAATGCTTGATTCTGATTGGTCAGTTGAGACATTTGCAGGTTCGTTCTTTTCAAATAATGACCGCTCCAAAGTAATAACGCATAGCCGGTACTACTTGTATGTTTAAAATCCCTCCGCGCCAACAAAGATTACCGTTTAAAAATGTTAATCTAAAACAAATATGCCAATAAAATGTTTCAAATTCATATTCATGTCCAGTTTTTTTCCTTATGTGGCAAGTAGCGTGTAATAAGCGGGATAATGTACAGGCAGCCGGTAGTTATCGCGAAATAACCCCCTTCAGTGTGATACAAGACCCTCCGCTTCGCGTCGGGTCCTGATCACACTGTCGGGGCTTATTTCTGCGATAACTACCGGCTGCCTGTACATTATCCCTTACTTAACACCTGGCACCATCAATACCTAAGTGAAGGCTGTTCATTAAAACATAAAAACCCTCTATAGCATCTTCCTGTTAAAACATAACAATTGACTTATAAACCATTTCACACTAAAGCATAACAAATCTTTCAGTTTAAGAGCAGCTGCTTTCGTGCAGCTTATCAGCACATTTAATGTTACTATACAGCACTCATCCCTATTACTGTAATATTGTTTTATTTCCCTCTCCCCTCAGTTAATTTAAAGTAAATGCAACTTTAACTCCAGAGCTTTCAGAAAAAAAAAAATCTGGAACTGAATAGACAAATCTATTTTTAAACGACCCAAACAGAAATCAGGTATACATGCTATAATGGACAGTAGTTGTTCCACCATTACCTAACATGACACAGGTTACTGATTTAGAAAACAGGGTTGGTGCAGTGATGCATGGCACCCAGCCCAACTAATTTCTGAAATTGAGAATGTTTCAGAGGCAATTTATGAGTAACATTTAACTAAGAATGTTTCCCCCAGAAAACAACTGACTGACAAACAGCGATAATTCAATGCAGTTACAGGGTCTCATAATTGCCTAGAAATGTTTGTGGTAAGGCTGTAACGTTAAAAGTATTCATTGTGTACCGTTCAGTACTTCATTTTCGGTTTGCTATAAACAATAAAACGAATGAATACATTTATTGATATGGGGGGAACTACATTCACAAGCTGATGATTACCAAGAAAAACATTATGTTAATTGCAGCTGTGGGTTGGTTACAGTCAGTCATAATCGGGGATTCCTAATAAATTACACCAGCATGGAAGAGAGTAGTTGATAAGACAAAGACTGTTAGCTCTGTCATACCAAAACACATCAAACATGCCAACTCATTACCAACATCATCTGAGTAGGTGTACAACTAGAGCAAGGCAGAAACAGCCTCTGCAAATTAGTAACCCCACGGCAATTTAAAATATTTTTGCCAGGAAATTCAGACCATGCCAAGAAAAAAAACAAAAAACATTGGGCTGTTTATTGCTACAGATATGAGACCATACTCGATAGTAGACAACATGGGATTTATAATGGAATTTAGCGCATCATGAGTTAAATATGTAAAAACTAAAATTATTATAAAATGTGTAAACAAGCGTCTCAGTTATTCAGAAACATCAGCATATGTATTCCCTATGGTTTACAACTGTTCCTAAATTGTTTGCAGTTTTAATAATAATTTCAAAAATTGTTGTCCCTGCTGTACCAGAGTTCTACCAAGCCATGAACACAAAACCAAGGTTTGTACCAAACCACAGACCCCAAGATAATTTAACTTGTTAAATCACTTTGATGAACCATCCCCACAACAAAGCTAAATATTTCTGGCACACAGAAAGACTAGATTACCAAAGCAACTTTCTATTGTAAAACTATGAAAAGAACAAAGTTCTGCCCCTTTATCAATCATTTAAAGCCTTATTTCCAGATGCTAATAATATTGTCTTCATAACAGAGACCCATAATTCATAACAACCCCACAATAAAGTTCTGTCAACCAGGATTTATGCATGAATAACAGTAGTATATTAATGCAATTAAAAGATATAATGCTAAGAGCTGGAACTAATTGTTCTCAAAATAGGGGAGTCTTGCAGTGCTCTGGCTTGGAAAGCAACACCAACAAAGCACATCCCAACCTCTAGATGGACAAGTGAAAGCAGCAAAGTGATTGTGTGCTTAAATGTCACTGAGCAAGCCCTTCATTTCTTTGGCAGCTACAGATCACAAGCTTAGGGTAACAACTGTCACACATTTCCAGCCACTACATTCCAGCAAAGGCTTCCCAGAAAAATCTAACACATCTGCAGATTTTTGCACACAGGTGCCACCAACACACTCTTGTTGCTTATAAAGCTGTAGGGAAGGTAAGATGCATATTGCTGGAGCACAGAAGCAGATTCACTACCCTTCTATGACATTAATAGTTCCAGCATGAAATGTAAGAATTATCCTTACACATGGACAAAGTTGGCCTAATGTAATGCTGGGTGCCTCAATGTGCTCAAGATTACTGAAGCATTCCAACATGCTCATGGACTACTGAAGGGGGTAGGAAATGGGACAGCAAATGCAGATATTTGTTGGGAGAATGTATCTCTAACAACTCACCGATCACAATCAAGGAGTTCCCACAACATTCTCCATAACTGGGTCCAGAGAGATATGGAGCAATAAAGCAACTTCATATAATCCTCTGAGCAAATGTGTCACACTCAACCTTAGAACCTGTGTTCTGTATTAAAACCACAAATACAGCTTTTAAGAGCTGCAGGTTTAAGTGCTAATATTGGACAGGATTTTAGGGTTCAGGGACTTCAGATTATAGAACCAATGCCATAATTCGACATCAGTGGCTCTCCTTATGGTCTACGGTGGAGATCACATTCAATAAAAATAGGGTACATTTATAAGAACCTCGCCTTCATGAGTGAATAACAGAAGGAGACTAAAACCACAAACGGGAAATGGGAAACAGGGAGGAAAGCAACTGCAAACAGCAGAGGCCCCAGGGTCACAGCTGGACAGTGGAAACGGTGCCTTTTAATCTGGGATCAGATTTAAATTGCCTCCCCCAAGAGTTCGATCAAGGTCATGACTGCAATTTAAAGTGCAGTATCTATGCTGAGGTAACAAAGCAGCGTGGGCTCAAAGCAGACAGGTCGCTGTGACAGCCACTGAGTTGGCACTTTTGTTCATTCTCCCCATTGGCCTGTTTGGAAGAGGAAAATAGCTCAGGCCCAGGAGGATTAGGCAGAGAGGAAACAGATAGGGGCTTAGGCTTAGAGTAAATGGACAGGGACAGGGCACAGGCTGGTGAACACCAATAAAACAGCATGAAGCAATTTCAAGCTACAGTTCATATAGCTTGCAACCCAATCTCCCAAAGCGTTGCACATGCAATGATCCTGATACTGCGGTCTGATGAATCGTTCTCAGCAGTGGCAACAAAAACTCTGATATTGTGGTGTTTCAAGATCAAAGCACAGATTTTCACTCAAAATCCAAGAGGTAAGACATTAGAACACTTTTGTAAATTGTCAATAATTACCTCGATGTAATTAGAGGACTGAGCACTGCAGAAATCCAAACATGCTTATAGTTCACTGTAAACCCTCTATAGCATCTTCCTGTTAAAATATATTCCAATTGTGCTTTTAGCTGGCTGTGGAGGAAAGCATGCAACTTGGGGATCATGTGCTGAGGGCACAGGGACGTGAAAAACTGGACATACTGTAGCAAAGCAAGACCAGGAGGCAGTACAAGCCTGTTCAAAGGCGTGTCTTATCTCCCTCATTAAGGGCAATTTTCTTCCACAGGCAGACTCCTGGGGAAAGGGGGGGGGGGGGCACGGGGAGCATATACCTCCCACCTTTTAAAAACCTTTATACTTAAATTGAAGTCTCTAATCCAGCATATGCAGGTCACAGATCAAGGCCACACTGAGCGACAATTACACAAAAACATTTTTTTTAAAAGTATCCAGAATGTAAGCCATCCTGTACAGTGGCATTCAATACAAACCAGCAGATCAGGACAACTGTCACAGCTAGGGGCCTATACTTGTTAACAAGTTCTTTATGTTCTATTATCATCATTCACAAAATCATTTAAAATTAATACTAGCAAATCCTGCAACACAATTGTGTACCCTACGGGACCCATAAAATGGTACTAGGTCTAATATATATTAAGCAGACAGGAACATCCTCACAGGGACGTGCAGCAAAACTCCAGTGCACTCACGGGCAGCGAGGCACCACTGTCTGCAGGGCAAAGAAAAAGCAGCACTGCTGACAGTGAGTTCTGACATCAGCCTGTGGAGGTTCCGCCCCTAGTCACTGTCCACTCATCAGCAACTCACATCCCATTTCTCTCTCACAGGGACAGGTTTACATCTGCAGCGCCCACGTGTACACAGTCCAGCACTTGTGACTCCTGTGACTTCCAGCATCACTATAAATACCATATTACTGTATCATGATGGAATACAACTAAATCTAATTGCTGTATACCTGCGTGTTCCATATAATGCACAGCAGTTGCAATGACTTGAACGCAAAGTACATACAGACCTTCTATTGGTGACGATTTCAATCTGTTACAGAGGCCTTGGACGTCACTGTAAGATTCCTGCAATTTATGGAGCGCCTCTGCCCCACGCAGTTCCATGAGGGAGCGTAGCTCCTTGAGAGAGCATCCAAAGTCCCCATCATGGTTGGCTTCATGATTTTTCACCCCACTGTATGAGTTCTTCGCCATGTCTCCTCCACTGCGCTCTTAGCTACGGTGGGAAAAGGGCGTCCCAAACGACCACGACGTTCCTCAGCGACAACACCGAGTATTTCCCATAAACTGCACAGATCCCTCAGATGTGCAAGAAGTCAGGAACCAGGAGGCAGACTCTGGACCAGTCAAAAGCCATCTTCAGCATACCACATGCCTACTGTTCCATAGTGACAGATGTGCTCCAAGAGTCCAGAGGATTCTGCTTGCGAAGATCTACAAGACAAGAAAAGAACAAGGTTAACACGGGCCACATTTAGCAGAAAAAAGGTCCCGATACAACAATTGAGATGCGCAAAACCAAACACTGACCTGAGATAGCATACTGACAGTTGGTAATAAAAGAGCTTTAAAGGTCAGACACTCCAGGACATGTGCGATGATTTTACACTATGTTTATACAGAACTGCATTCATATGGCTTCTTGTCAGTTGTAACAGTCATTTCCTGGTTAGTTCAGACTATACCAGTTGTTCTGGTTAAGCAAACCAGCTAGTAAAAATAGATAAGCATTGAGAAGTCATTACACAAATGTTACAGCCAGGCAGGTGCTGAAACAGGAGTGTGACAGTCAAAGAGGAAGGCATTCAGCTAAAGATCCACACTCACGTATGCAAATACAAACACAGGAGGTACAGGAAACTATTAAACACACATTGGTCTGGATAAAGCTGATCTCTGCCTATAAACAAGAGGCTGGAAAAACAAGAACAAATTATCTTGGATAAGGTACATTTTTGGAGCCCCAAAACATCCAACAGGAGAGAATGGCAACAGAGATATCAGTTGTACGGGTTACACTGAAGCCAAGTGTTGCTTTAAAAAGCATTCTTGCCAAAGGCCACTTCAAGGGAAAAAGTTCATTAAAACGATCAGCAAAGGAAAGCTTCTAATTCAAGTGCAACAACATGTAGCATAACTAATAAGCATGGCGAATGCTCACGCCCTCACCCTGGACACATGGGCTACCCAGAATGAAAACCACAAATCCCCTGTCAGAGCCTTGAGCCACTTGGTGCCTCTGCTCCTGTTTCCACACTGAATGAGTACAGTACAACAGCTGTCATACTGTTCAAGGACAAATCTGCTTGATGAATTTCTTGGAATCACGACCCAGGAATGTACCATACCCCCAAGATGGCACAGAGGGATATTCCTGCGCAAAGCACTTATAATGCACTGACGGCTATCGTAAACTGCAACAAGTTCACTTGGCAACCAGCGCCACATGCCTCAAGTATGCGTTCAGTTGCACGGCCCATAATTCCCACCTGAAAATAAAAGTGAGGGGGGAGCAGAGCTCAGAGTGGCAGCTCACTGGACTCTCTCCAGGACTAAACCACTGCAAGGAGTGCTCACGCATGCTACTGTCACAGCCATACAAAGTTTGCAGGATGCCTCAATTTCACAGTATACCACCTGGGGGGTCAATTTCACATATAAATGCATAAAGCCCTCGCACTGACCAGTGGCAGTTGTTCCCAAGTCTGCAAAGCACAACCTTACACCATTACTCTACACAGGAGCTGATGTCAGCGGCATGCTGCTTCAGCTGATTGTGTAAATCACAGTTGCACTCTCCTCATTCAACTTTTCCTCTCAAATTTTGTCCTTAGGTCAGACATCTGCAAATACCAACATTAAACCCGACCTCAGGCTGACCCTGAAGTATTATGCAAACAAATGAATTTAGCTACATCAAATAACACATTTATCCTTTAAAATGTAGCATTTAGCCCTTCTAAGAATTAGATTAGTGAAGTAATCTAAGGCAAGTACTTTGCTCAAGGGTACAGCAAGGCCCTATGGTTTCCATCCATCCATTTTCCCCAATTGACCTTAGCATGGTGTTTGGACTGTGGGGGGGAACCTGGAGTACTGGGAGGAAACCCCATGACACAGGGAGAGCATGCAAGCTCCACACACATGGAGCCATGGCGAAGACTCAAACTCTGGTCCAAGAGGTGTGAGGCAACAGTGCTAACCACTGCGCCACTACAAGGAGGGAGATGGGGGGGGAGGGGTTGAAATCGTCACACACACATTTAGTGAGAATTAACACGGAATAGGAGACAGTTGCAGTTAGGTAAAATCAGACAAAGAGAAATTTCAGGGGTCCCTTTCATTTCAGAAGTTTAATTTCATATATTTATTTCTTTTTATATTTATCGAACTTTTTCAATTATCTATATACAGTATTTTGATTTGATTTGTTAAAACATACACCCATACACACATGAAAGAAAGGCATGCTCTAGGGAAGAGATGTCAAACTCCAGTCCTAGAGAGCCAGAGCCCTGTGTAGCTGAGTTCTTTCCCTGTTCCACCACAAATGATTCAGCTCAAGGAGTTGAATCAGGTGTGTTAAATGAGGTGAAACCCAAAAATGTGGAGGGCTCCAGCCCTCCAGGACTGGAGTTTGACACCTCTGCTCTAGGGCCTAAGAAAACCTCCTGAAACAAACAGCACTCTGACACTGTCTAGCAGTAGGCTCAGAATCAGATACATTTAGCATTTTTAGTGACCATTTTCTGTTCAGTCAGTCAAACAGAAAGCATCTGTTCAGCAAGCTAATGACACCGCTACGAACTGTTCAAGTTCCTACTTCTGCACATCCCAATCGCTACGCTAAGACATTGTCTTCAGACTTGAAGACACTGCAATACTAGCCCCATGCAAGCCTCACAGTCAGATTGGACCAGTCATGCCAGCCAGGCACACTCGAGTAAACCCTCTTTTTCACAGGGTCCACACGGCCGAGCAGCTTTGTGCCCCACACAGAGTCACTGCCGGTATACAGAGCACACAGAGTTTCAGGCTGCAGAGCAGGTCACATGTTGTAAGGCTGGAAGGTCAGTGTCTGCGGGCACACAGCTGGCAAGGGCACAAACAAGCACAGTCTGACACTGTGGCAGTGCCATTACTGCAGAAAATGACACGTACTCTGATTTAGCAAGGTACATCTCGGAAAGCTAGGTCCATTCAGTTCAAGGGATCCAGGTTTGAGCACTGCCTTGATAGCCTTCATATTCAGAACAAGTCAGATCTCTCATCACTCCACAGGGACAGCATACCTACAGGGGTGTGGGCAGAAGTAACCAAAAAGTGATCTTCTCTGAGGAAGCTACATGGCAACAAAGCCTTCAGCCTCCAGAATGGAAGGAAGTAGGCGGCTGGCGTTGCAACATCTTTCCCAGGCATTTTAGCCAATGGACACAGGTACAACAAATACAGCAGTATTTATTATAAAACTTACTGTGCTTTGCGTATTAATGTATGCAATATATATCATACCAGAACTAATTCCTTGTACATAGCTGTACTTGGCAAAATAAATCTGATTCTGAATAACAACCAACAGTCACTTTACTATACACAAACTCAACCTGCACAGAGGAATCTGGAATCACCTTCTAAACTTAACTGGCAACCCAAAACACATACACCACCTCCAAAGCAAAGCCTGCAGGCTACTCGCCATGGAGCATACCATATCAAATCTGTAACACCCCCCCCAACACATCCAAATCACAAGAACGAAAGGAAACCCTCCTGCTGGCTGTCAACAGTACCCCCCATCGTTGCCAAGGCTGGGTGCGAGCCACAGGACCAGGACAGCAGATCCAGGGGTCCCTCTTTACTAGTGCAGGCCAGGGGGCTATTTTTAGCTAACCACATGCAACCCCCCACCATCCACAGAGAGGTACAAAGTGGGAACATGGTGACCCAGCTGACAGCACCACTTCAGAGCACTGGGGACACAGGGCCTGGGCTCACAGGGGCTTCCCAGTACTGAGAAGGATTTGCGGAGCACAGAACCAGGCAGGTGGGGTTAGTCCAATCCTCAGCCTTCCACTCGAGTTTCTACAGTTCCAACCACACTGCCGCAGCAATCTTTAAGGTAAGTTCCCTTTTACAGCCCCCCTGTGACGACAAATGTTTTATGTACTTTGTGGGCTGTAAATGTAAAATGTTAATATGATACAGCACCATGGTCAGTTTTCCCAGGACTCTGTGACATCAGAAAATACCAGACAAGCCTCCAGCAACATGCAGCTCCTTTTTATGTATAAACACAGAGCACATTTCCAAGCATGCGCATACCTTTGATGGAGTCACTTTGAATACGAGGCCGCTTTGTGTCCCTTGTCACACAGCAAAGTGACGTGCAACTGCCTGCGGGCCCCACTCCCCTGCCAGGCGAGACCGACCTCGTGCAAGAGCCAGTGCCAATTGTGTGACCCCAGTGCCGCCGGCACACCCCTCCCCCATTCGCAGCTGACTACATGCTCACACTTCCTACCAGGGTCCGTCCATTAACCCAAAGACACAGACGGGCTTCCCCAAGCAAGTCTGGGGGCTGGGCAAAAACATAGGGCTAGTTTTAGAGCGGCTAGCAACAAAGTTCACATCCTAAAAACGCCAGTTAGCAGCAAGGTGGCTCTGCCACGTTACTGGAGCTGTAAAGCTCAGACATCTGTCAGCAGCAGAGTAACTTCTAGAGAAACTGCTGGTTCATTAAGACAAAGTCTGCCTGCTCAGGTTTGCCTGTTCCTCAGCAGGCTGGGCTCGAAGGGGATGGTGCCACACTAAATATCTTTAACAGCATCTTCTGTTATAGTTTAGCAGGAAGAGTCAGCAGAGAGCTGAAAACATGACATTTCAGTGAACTGAGAAACCAGCACACAGACTGGTTCCAGAAAAACAGAACCACTCACAGGACACAATACCAAGGAACACTGAGTTTTATAATGAATACTGACGCTATAATGAACAGTTTACACCACTTTGCCACGACTGCCCATTTTATGTATTCTTTAAATGCCTTCTGCAACACAATGGTAGTTTCTACTTTTCTGTCACCTGTCATAATTTAACTCTGCATGCTCCATCGCAGGATAGTACACAATTTGAAACAAACCCAGAAGTTGCTACCTCAACCCCCTAATATCACCTTGACAATTATGAATCAGTGCTTTGGTGCTACATTAACAGGCATGTTAAACTGCTGAATGCATTTTCTCAAAGCCACTTCATTCCTGCAAAAACTGTGGCCAATGACACACAGCTGACATGCCAAAACATTTCAGGAGGGCCCTACATTCAAGGGTGTCCAATGCGCCTGGTTAAAAAGGCTGCACTGGGATCTTCTGGCCCTTACATCTGTGAGCCCATCTATTTTGTGCATTCCATAGGATCATTAGCCCAGGCTTTAGTCTCCATCCTTTTATTGCATCCTCATACAATGAAGTTTCATGACAAGTAAACAGATACATTGTTAAAAGGCATTTAATAGTTCAGGCAACTATTTTTAGCTTGCAATGATAGTCTATGTGGCTGAATGTCACCTCAGCTTAATGCTACACAAAGGCTCCATTACCTCTTCTGTAAAATATACTCTGTCCCCCAAGTCAGAGCCTCAATTACTGAGTTTCCAGATGAAGCAACTCAAAATTAGATATTTCTGTCTTATACTTATTTACTCAGAATAGAAATGTGACTTTTATAGACACATTCAGTTTTTATTCATATACTTCACTGACAACAGCCCAATGCAAATCAGTGCTGTGAAGGAGCATCTCTTAATCACAGAATTTCTTGCAGCCATATTAAACTGACTTGATAAAAAAAAAAAATCTGCTTACAAACCCAGGCGTCAGACTGCAGAAAATACTAAAAATATACTATATTCACCAAGGTGAGTGAAGTAGCGTTTTGGGAATATAATTTTAAAAAATCTATACAAATTGTCATGAAATTTCACCTGCTTTTAAGAACACATAACAGTTTATCATAATGTGTGTAACCCACAGGTTAGACAGACACCGATCATAGGAAAAATCCAAAGACCAAGTTGAAAGAAATCCGGCAACAAATCTGTAATGTATATACAACAGTAAATAAACCCACCGTGGTCATACTACGATAAAGTATAATGCAATACATCTAAGTGCAAAAAGCAAACAATCACAGTTAAATCAGCACTATAACTAGCCCAGGGCTGTATTAACATCTCAAAATTTAATTTGAACCAATATATTTTCTAGTAGCTCCACCAGCACACTATCACTAAGACTAGTTACCAGGGCTCTAAAATCATTACAGATAAGGCAGTTTAGCCAAACTGCAAATAAATAAAAGAAGCACAAGAGCAAAGGGACTACCTGAAAATGGCCAGGAAAATGTTTCCCAACAACATTCCATCAGCATACCACTGAACAATTCAAAGTACTCTGTTACAATGTCATGCAATTACACCAACAATTCAATGTCAGTGTACACGAGGTGGGTGCACAGTAACAGCCAGGGCCAAGATTACATGCATCAGCGCTTCACAGTTGTGAAAGCATTCAAGATTATTTTTATAATTTTATTTATTTATTTATTTATTTATATATATATATATCTCAAACCAGCATTAGTGCATGCTTTTGAGCAATGAGAGCAACAGCACAATTAGTTCTAGTTCAAAGGCCACAGAATCTTATTTTACATGCAGTCAAAGGTTTCTTTATTTGATGGGTCAGGTAAATCATTAAACAATTACCGTTTCAAACAGCCCCATTCAGTGATATTGAAAACAGACTACAGCAGTGCAAACAGAACTAAGGGAAAACAGATTATCTTGTATATCCCCATCAGCTGTTGGCTCAGGTATTCACAAGATCCATCCACGGGCCGTATTACTAAATTTTTCTTTGTTGAAAGCATTACCTAAGGGTATACATGAAGTTATTTCTGGGCCCTTAAGGAAACATAAAATGTCAAATCCTTTCTACAAAGAGCTGACATTTCAACAGCAGAGAGACAAGGCATTGAGCTCCAGTCTGTAGTCTTGCAACTAATGTCTCCAGTAGGTAAAATGTGGAAATTAGTCCATTAGCAGTAAAAACGTTTCGTAGCCAACTTTAAAACAGATGGGGGCTTTTAAATGAACAGCTCATCTTCTAATGGTTTTAACAAATGTAATACATATCAAGTCGTGTCCATTATAGGAACCGCTATAGCCTAAAACGTACTTTAGTTCTTATTTAGTAAATTTCGTTACATGATGTCGTGTTAAGATGCCAATGCAAAACTTTATCCAATAAATGGCTAATACTGCGCTTTATGGCAACTATGTGGAGAGTGCTTGTACAGGACAACTGTAGAAAAACAACCATATCGGCCGATTCCTATCCGGGGCACCGGTTGTTAAAGGGCACGTTTATCATCTTCCTCTATTTTTAAAGTTGGTGCCATGGTTTTATTCCCGATATCCAATAATTCCGCGGGAAGAAAGCCTTCGGACTATTTGTACTCAAGGTCATGAGGAGCATTGCTTCTCATGTTGCAAACAATTTAACAGGACTTGAGCTCATTCCGGACAGGGGGAAGAGGGGGCAAAAATATGTTATGGCACAGAAACGTGCCACTCTACCTTCAGCCGGGGGCAGCCTCCGTCCACAATAAAATGCACAAACGGAGCAGATAAAAAAAAAAAAAACTCGTTTATAAACTCAGCTAAATTAAGCGGCTTATAAACAACCTGACGCGTCCGTCCCCGCATGGGACAGTTCGTTAAATCGGAGGTCTTGTCGACTGGACAGAGTATGGTAGCACTAACAGTAAAATTAAAAACTAGTGACTAACGGAGAGGCGCAGAACGGACTTGCATGAATTCCTGTCTCGCAGGCGACAACATACGTTCCGGCTTAGACCAGGAGGCGCTCCTGTTCTAATTTACTCTATCACTTTATCACATTTACCAACAGGATGGGTTGAAACACAGCTGAAACCTAAGAGGAATATCCAGCAATGCGCTACCCCGCTTAACCACACTAATGTCCTGCGAATCTCCATCCTTAGACAAACTTCTAGAAGACGACTGCTGCTGTGATCCATTTATATTATCACCACTCGGGGGAGGCGAGGTACTGTTCGTTGTTATATATATATATGCAGGAAATTATTTTGTTGGACAGCACCATTAATAAATTCAACTAGCATTCCGTAATAATATTTCAGGATCAAAGTTATGCATCTCAAATAGTCACTAGAAGTAAACTTTCGAATCCGGTTCGAATCTGGATCAGGCCACAGACTGGATCCGGTTCGAGTCTGGATCAAACCACAGACCAGGGTTCCGTTATATTTCTAACCGCACAAAACGGCTTGATAGTAAAAATGACAATTCAGTCCACTGATATAAGTTAACGTAATTGCCACTGGCATACACACTTGCATTAAACCTTACCAAGTCATTATCTTAGCTATCAAATTAACTTACCTTCTTAAGAATTCAACGCTAAACAGAAGCTATGGTATGTCCTCCTTGTTTCTTATTATTATTGTCCTCCAAATGGTGAAGCCTGACAGGGAAATTATTAGTAAGGAAGATAGTGCCGCAAGTTTGCAGAGCATAAATAAAACCATTTACTGTTTCTTCCTTATTTATAGAGTGGCTACACGGAGCATCATCTCTGGTCGTTCTGCTTCCTTTGGCTCCTGCGCCAATGTGTCAGATCAAAAAAGTGGGAAAACGGGGGACAGACAGTTAAAAAAATAAAAAGTTGTTCTTTTCAGATAAGACTAAGTGGAGGCCGACGGAGCAGCGAAGCGCCCTCTGCACATCTTCCACTTGGGGGGGAGGGGGGTGCTGCTACTCCTGACACCCTTCACTCTTGACGTACCTCAAGCAAAGCAAACGAACAATGAAATCAATTAATTAATTAATTAATTGATTAACAAACGACCGAAGGGGCCGCCCGGCTCAGTTCCAGGCGGAGGGGGGGTCCGCCAGCTGCCCCCTTTTAAGACACCGGCCGCGGCCGCACAGCCGTCGACTTCCCAACTCCCAGCCCGGCTTGTTAGGTGCGCCCGGGGAAAGACAGACAGTTCCGTTACACGCCAAAAAAAATCAAAATAAAACTACTGCGAAGAGGCTAGCCGTCGTGCCCCTTCCCTCTGTTCGCAGGAAACATAAACTTGAGGCTCAGCAATTTGCCAGCTGAGGTAAAACCGGTGCCGAAGTGGGAGGGGGCGGACTACCTGAGGTACCCGCTCACCCCGAGTGTCCAGCTACAACGTATGGTACTGAACACAAACCCCCCCAAAAACTGCTTTTAAAAAAAGGGGACAGTGAGACGCCAGCACTCACACAGTTCGCAGAAAGCTGCTCCGGCTCCCCTCGCCCCCGTCTCCCTCGGTCTCCAAGAAGAGTGGACCTCCCTCTCCCGATCTGGGCTCAAATCCCGCCCACGGCGCGCGGCGTCGCCCGGCACCACGTGACCCACGCCAGGAGGAAGGACCCTGGACGCCGACGCCGATTGCTATTCGCTTAACTTGAAATATCGTGGTCGCCCGTGGAAACCGCGACGTCATCGCGCTCGTACCCGGATGGAAACTGACTGGTTCGCGCGCGTACGTTCACGCGCCTTGCGGGTCGCGCGGCGCGTGCTCCGTGTAGCGGGACTCGGGTGCTGTGTTTTTTTTTTTTCTCGCACTCCCAGCTGTTTTACGGCGCTATTGTGCAGTTTTAAGGCGGCATATGCGTGCACGTTAGGAGCTAGTTTATTATGCAGACTCCACCTACGGTCTGGAACAAGTCTTTCCCTTCGGCTAATTAAGCCTGACGTCACTCTTTCCATGACGTTTGCGTTTTTTTTCCTCTTGATTCTGCCCTTCTTCGAACGACTGCATGTGCCGGTGTCCCGAGTTTACCGTTTAGCGCACACGGGAGCTGCTCCCGGTGAGCATGCGTTGAATGTGGGAGCTTACATCGGGTCCGGGGTTGGGGCGAGCAGAGCAAAGCAGAGGTTAGCGTCTGTTACCCGTTTAATAAAGCTGTCATATTAAATATGTATGTTAAAATGCTTGGTCCTAATAACTCAAACGGCGCGTTGATTTTTTTTTTCTTCGAATTTCACATTTCAAATCGAAGACTCCCTGTTAATTACTATTGTTATAAATTATTGCATAACACCTTCACTGGTTATACTATACTCAGTAATAAATGCATAACACTGTAACCAAAAGATACTGATCAAACGGGTCCGTACGTCTCATAGGCTTTCAGTCATACCTAATAGGATCGGCGAACTTAAAAATCATGCTCCCTCGTTGGGATTCAGGGTTTGTATATTGATGATGATGATGATTGATTATTATTATTATTATTATTATTATACTTTGCCTTCAGAGGTGCATCTCTGTAAGTTGTCTCACACCGTTACCAGTGATGCTGACGCTGGGAGGATGAAGCATTATATATATATATATATATATATATATATATATATATATAT